CTCGGTCGCCTCCCACGCGACGCCATCCAACCTTTGGCGAGGACGAGCGGCTCGTTGTTGGGGTAACCTTCCCGTTCGGGGTAGGAGCGAACCGTCTTCGGGGGGTATTTCGCCGTGGCCTCGTCTCCCGTCTGCCGCAGAAAGGGTATGGAGGACTCCGGGGGGCTGCACAGCCCCCCGATCACACTGGTATCGGGGTGTCGAAGAGTCGTCGACGTGAGTTTATCCGACCCCCCGAGCAACGACTTCATCTCGGGCGAGAGAAACCCGTCGTGCGGCGTCGTCATCATGTGTTCGGTGAAGGAATTCAATACGTACGGCCGCTGGTTGTTCCGCGCATGCGGTACCCCCGTGATGCTCACAAAACCCATATTGGCGGTGTGGAACGACCCATTCTCGTTTACCTGGCGATTCAAAAGGGCATCTAAAGGTGGTGATCTTAGCCATCGCCCATCCAGGGCTTGCATCTGCGTTCCACTATTGTGCGTCCCGAGCGGGCCGTTTATCCGCTCCGAAGTGACAGTCGGCGTTGAGACGTCAGACTGGAGTGGCCGCCTGGCGGACTCGCTTGTTTCGGTGTCCGTTGGCTTTTTAGGAGTCCCTCGAGAACCCCCCTCCTGGCGGGCTGTATTCAAAACACTTTTGTGCTCACCACCCTCCGCGTTCCGCAGCCACACGGGCCCCGACGAGGAAGACGATCGCTGAAGTTTCACACGAGGCAACTCATCGCCAGAGGTGGATGCGTTGTCGGACGAGCAAAACGAATTCTTCTTGGATTCGGATCTCCCCCCTAGTAGACTTTTCTGCGAGCTAGGAAGTTTGCGTATAGACTTCAAAGGTGTCGCCGTAGCATGCAACTGCGCGGACGTTAAAGAAATCGAATTCACTCGTCTGCTCAACAGCAAACTGCTTGGCCTAATTAAGGTTGCCATGCCGCGATTCAGCGACAACTGCGACCCAAACCTTGCCGCGGAATCCTTGTGCGACATCGTACTTACCGAGGGCGCACCCGATACGAATCGGAGATTCGGCGTCAATGTGCTTGTCAGGTAGCGTTCGCTTGACATCTGAGGCGGGCGAGGGGCGGCGTCGCCGAGAATTTCCGTGATGTTGCGGCCCTGGAGGGACGAACGAATCTCCTCAATCGTCGTATGGGCGCCAAAACGAGCCTGAAGCTTATCGAGCAACTCCTTCGCGGAGACGTTGGAGTCCCTCCCGCTTGAAAAGTAAGGGGGATCGGGGATGCCAATTTCGTTCGGCGACACCACGCCGCTCGGCCCTCGTTGGTGGCAAATCCCGAGAATCTTTGTCGGACGGGACCCTTCGGACTGTCGGAAAGGAATCGACACCGAGTCTTCTTTCTGTGGATTGTCGAAAAACATGCTGAAACCAACGTCTAACCCCTCAATGAGGCTACACCGCCTCCCGCCGATTGCCGTTTCCGATGACAACCCCTGAACATGAGTGCTCCCGGGGAAGCAGTTGGAACTCGATCTACCCCCTCGTGCGATCTCCGCGAGGCTGAACTCCCCCAAAATACTACTGTCGTGTTCATTACTAGCCGCCGAAAAATTGGAGTCCACCGGCCCCACCGTGCGCACCGCGACGATGCTGAAAAAGGCAACAAACTCCTCCTTTAATATGAAGGGGCCCCCCGCCGCCTCCTCCTCGCGAATCCGATTCGCATCGGAGGTGATCTGCACCACGCGACTATTCCGAAGTCGCTCAAACAACCCCGTCGATGGCGCTGCTGACAACCCCCCACGGCGCACCATCGCCGCGTGCTCAAGCTGAAGCGCCTTGAGATAGGCGAACGCCCCTCTGCGGATGCAGTGGAAGAGCGTATTAGCCCTCTCAATTGGAACCGGCTTCGCAATGAGGCTGTTGAAAAAGTTCACCATCACGGTGAACTCCCCCTCGGTCAACCTGCCATTGCCGGCTTTGTTGAAAAGCTTAAAAGCGAACTCCAGGCGTAACAGCACGTTGGCCCCGCTATGGAGCAGGAGCAATGCAGACATAAATGAGGTGTAGATCCAGGAC